TCAAGGCCTTGGGCTGAAAGATGGTACTCTCTTGGGAGCTATAGTAATAATAAAGCGTTGTAGGGAAGAACTTTACACTGTGGTTGAATTCATAGCTGCTTGAGTCTAGCAAGGATGATTTAAATAGGAGTGAATGTTGGGGGTTTTTTAACCTCAAAGACAGTAAAAGCATGGTGAAACACTCAGTACAATAAAGCTGTGCTGATAAGCTAGAAATTGTGAAAATTGTTGAGTCACCAATCTTGACTTTGAGTATTGGGGTAAACAGTATTGGGGGAGGGTAAACAGAAGCATAAACAGATAGTTTCAAAGCTGCATGGATAACTTTCTGCCTCGGATGCAGCTTCCACTCGAGCCTTATCATGAAAGATGCGCTGGAGAGAAACAGTTGAAAGTAGGTGGGAAGGGTGGTCAAGCAAGAAAAAGCTGTGTGGGGAGTGTCCAGAGGTGAGAAACATGCAGATCATGCAGGAGTGTCAGGATGCACAGTGTTACAATGAGGCAAAGCTCAGGGCCACAGTGGGGAGAGAGCACCCTGGAGAGTTGGGAAGACGCCAGTCCAAACAAGCAAGCAGAAAACATATTGTTGCAGTCTTGCCCGTACACCACAATGTACCAGTCTCTCATTGTGGGGTATCACCCAGAATTCTTTGTCTCACGACCAAGAAAATTAAGGAGTGTGGACACAAAGGGTGAAGTTGAAGCAAAAGTTTAATAAGCAAATGAAGAAAGCTCATCGCAGCTGGTGGGAGGCCCAAGCAGGTTGCCCACTATGAGGCTGGGTCCGGGGTTTTTATGGACTGGGAAGGGAAGGAATGTGCTGACTGGTCTTGGAGAGAACACTACTCAGCTTGGCCCCTGGACATTGCCAGGGACCAATCAGGAGCTGAAGTGATAGCCTGGCCCAGGACCAGTCGGGCTGAAGTGATGATTCACAGAGGCTCGGCTCACAGTCTAAAGCATGTCCAAGAAAGGAAAGTGCCCACTGGTACCCACCATAACCCACCGTGTACATGTCCACAAAAGGAGAAAAGACTATTTCCTAGAAGCCCACTGGTTATACAAAGGACAAAGGCGTTTCTATGTTGGGTCTTGTTCCCTTATCCGAGTAGCTGTAGGCATGTCTTAGGCACAAAGGTAAAAGGTGTTTCTATGTTGGGCCTTGTTCCTTTACCTGAGTGGGCCAGAGGTTTGTGCAAGTTTCCTTACCTGTGTCTGAAGCCTGATTTTTCAGGTTGTTCCTCTGTTTAAAGGAGTTTTACTAAGAACCCACCCTAATTACCTAACTTTTCTCTCTCAGTATCACTCTCACTACAGTGAAGATAGCAGATTTAACATGGGGAATCTAGATCAAAGACTGTTGCCTTATGGTCTTGGTGAGACCTGGGCCTGAATCCCATCCTTGGTGACTGCAACGATTCATTCATATTCAACTCAAACATTCCCTGAGGTGCTTGGGGAAGCAGAACACCACGAAACACACTGGCAGATGAATGAGTTCAAAATAGTTGGGCCAGGCATCCAGGGGAAAGAACTCCAAGGTCTAGCTATTAATGAGAGTCCTTAGCAGTGGTTAGGTAAAAACACAGCAGGCACAGGCATATTCCATTAGAAACTGACTTTATTAACTATATAGACTGCACACACTGAAAATCAGAATTTGGTGTTTCACTGGTGCACTAAAGGTAAGGATCATCAAAGGTTTATGCAGGGAAACAGTGACCGCCATGGTGTCCAAGGGTCATTAGAGGAAAACTCTGCATGGAACATCTGGAAGGCTACAGAAATGGAGACTCCCTATAGGCTCCCCCACACCGCCCCTACATACTTTGACATTCAACAGACTGATAGGCTATTTAGATAAGAGGGTGGGGGCTTCATTCATTCAGTTTCAATGCAGCTTCAGTGCCAACATTGTATTTCCAGGTTTGGCATTCTGGGACATGGGTTTTACAAGGTGCCTAGCTCCAGAAAATTATCAGCAAGAGTTAAGAGAGAAGATGAAGTTCTCTTCCCAGGAATATCCGGAGAAGGTCCCTGAAGCCCAGCCTGCCCTGTGCTCTGGCCCATTACAGCAGACTATGAACAGGAAACAGCTCAAAACTGTTGGAGAAGGGCTGAGCAACTCCTGGAGGTCCAGAATTCTGGGAGGGCAGGTGAGAGGAGCAGCAATGGGGCTCGAGCTCTTCCTGGACCTGACACACCATCCACTTTTGCAAGACAGAATGGCATCCCTTTTCAGTTGCAGCCGGTGGAGTTGGCTTGGGGTGAGCCAAGTGGCTGGGCTGGACCCCATGGAGTGGGTGCCAAGGACCAGGCCCTGCACTGAGCCTTCTCTCCTTTCTGCCCACCAGGGGAGCACCTGAAGCCTGAGTTCCTGAAGGTGAACCCCTGGGGAAGATGCCTGCCCTCAGAGATGGCGACTTCCTACTAGCAGAGAGGGAATGGTGACCTGGTGACCACCCAGGGTCACAGCCAGGATCTGCCTGGGTTCAGGCGCTCAGACTTATAGGGGGAGGCAGAGGAAAGAGGGGAGATCTTTCCCTGGGATGGACATCTTTCCAAGTCACAGCAGCCCCTTCCTCATTTCAGCTTGTGTAGCTCTGATGCAGAGGCTGGACCCACAGGCACCTTTGGGCTAAAGCTGGAGGCTGGAACCTGGCTAGAGCCTTAGCCATCTGGAGCTGCCCAGGTGGGGAAAGGGCATAGGTCACCCAGATAAGCCTGGACAACCTGAAGCCAGCAGGCAAGGCTCAGGCTTGAGACTGGCTCCTCCCCAAATGTCCCCAGCTCATCCTTTCAGAGTCCTAGGAGCTGGGAAGGCCCAGGGGAGACTCCACTTTCAATCCCAGCTCCCCACTTCCTCACTCTGTGCCCTTCGGCAAATCACAGAACTTTGTGTGCCAAGTTTCTCCTCTGTAAAATGGGGTGGGGGGAATAATGTAACCACCTCCCAGGGCTTACCCGAGGATGGAAAATGGGCACCTAGTGCTCTGGGGCACTAGGAAGGGAACTTGGGCAGGGCTCACATGGCAGGCCTGCCTCTCTCACTCTGAGTGGGGACCCTGATGCCAGGGAGTGGGGCCTGGGCATGGAGGGCAGGATGGTGCGATAACTGGGAGGGGAAGTGGAAACATGGGCCCAGGGAGGATCGAATTGGAAATGGAGAAGCAGAGTGGTTTGGTCGTGGGGAGATACTGCCTGGAGGGAGTTGCGGTATAGGGGTGTCCTCCCCTGAAGGAGAAGGTGGGAAGAAAACCTGGTCAAATCACCATGAGTATGAGCCATAAAGCCGCCTGGCCCTGACAGGCTGGAGAAAAGATCTCTGACATCTCCTGCCCACAGCGTGGTCATCGTTTTATACCTCAGTCAAAAGTACCAGATGGAGGCACACTGGTACCCATCTGAGCTGCAGGCCCGCACCTGCGTGGGTGAGTACTTGGCATGGCAGCATGTCACCATCCAGCTGCCTGCCACCAATGTCTACCTGTGCAAAGTGAGCTTCCTAGGCCCTGTCATGCAGGCTGGGGCAGGAGTTTGGACCCCCAGAGATGGAAGGTACCAATTGGCACATATTACATATTAGCTTCACTTCCACTGCCCTGAGCAGACATCACTAATCTATCACAGTACTCCTTCCCCTAAGCCGGAATGAATCCTTAGAAACTTTCTGAACACAGAGCCCCAGAGGACATCACTAATGAATGGCAGCCGGGAAGGGATGGTGAGGAGGCCCAAGAGGATTCCAAGGGTCTGGGTTAAGTTGCTCCTCTCCTCCCAGCCCAGTCTCTCCTGCCCCACTTCTCAGGGCAGCCTGCAGATGCTGCACAACTGGAATGGCTGTTAGGGAGGCTGCCGCCAGCCCTGCAGCACCTGGATGGGGAGGTGCTGGTGGCCAGGCCCTTTGTGGCAATGGAGCAGCTCTCCCTGGAAGATTGGTGCTGACGGAGGTGATGGAGGTGAAGCTCTCCTACCCACCTGCCCTCTGGGGAGACTCTGGGCATGGGGCTGAGCCCCAACCCCAGCTGTCCTATCTTCCCTGCCCACTGCTGTTGGCTGTGACCTCTGCCAAGACTCCCGGCTGCAAGAGTGGCAGGCCCGTGTGGAGGCCGCCCTGGATACTGAGCTCTTCCTGGAGGCCCACAAGCTCATTCTCTAGCCTCAGAACCACAGTGAGGCTCAGCGGGACCCCCAGCTGGCCCAGAAGCAGGTGCAGTTGCTACAGGAGTGGCTCCACTGATTGGGTGCAGCCCACCCCACTGCACCCTGCTGTCTGCAATAAACACACTGCGTGCTCTTCGCTTGTCTCCAGGCTTACTCTGTCACTGGAAGTGGGGTCAGTCCCATTTCTGAGCCTAGACATATTAGATCACAGCATAGAGTGAGTGGCACTCAGTCCCCCATGTGGGGCTCTAGTTACTTTCCTGGGCTACCAGGTGCACAGTCTGGCCACTGCAGCCCCAACCCAGGCCAGGAAGTTTCCGGGCTCCTCTGCATGGCACACGCTGGCTGAGTGTCCCCTGACTTCCTGGTGGTAGTGTCCCCACTGCTCCCAAAGCTCCCAGGTTCCTGTGTCTCTTTCTCCCAATTCCTTTTCAGTCAAAGTTCAGGCTCCATTCACCTATGGATACTCCCAGTCTCTACTTCTAGAATCTTCCAGGGATAATTCTTATTGCCTCCTCCTCATTCTGGACCCTGCAAAGCCCCTTTCGTCAGGTTCTGCAATGAAAGTCCAGCCATGGGAATTCCCAGGCATAATCCCTTCTCAGACAGGGTGTCTGTGAGGTGGTGCCACGGGGCATAGGCATATGTTGAAGGGGGAGACTAGGGTCACAGCTGCCACATCTTTGCCACAGACCTCTCCCGAGCCTACTCCTGGGCCTCCTTAGAATCCTTGCTGCCGTAAGAATTGCAGGCTTCCTGGCCTTATGACAACACAAAGGGAAACAAGAAGTTTCCCTGGGGAACACAGGGTCCTGGGTCCAGATTGGAGAGGGCACAGGGCCAGGGGACTCTGGCCAGACATAGGCCCAGGTCTGTGGCTGGCCAGTTGCAGCTGTGGGGCCCGGCATGTGTCTCAACATGGCCCTAGAGCTCTACATGGACCTGCTGTCAGCACCCTGCCGTGCCGTCTACATCTTCTCAAAGAAGCATGACATCCGGTTCAACTTTCAGTTTGTGGATCTGCTGAAAGGTCAGTTCCCACTGCTACCGGGCAGGCCTGGTCCTGGGGGATGCAGGGCACACAGATTGGGGTTTTCCTTTTTTTCTTGTTTTTTGATGGAGTTTCGCTCTGTTGCCCAGGCTGCAGTGCAGTGGCACTATCTCTGCTCACTGCAACCTCCACTGGGTTCAGGTGCGTCTCCTGCCTCAGCCTCCCGAGTAGTTGGGATTAGAGGTGCTCGCCACCACACCCAGCTAATTTTTTGTATTTTTAAAAGGAGTTTCACCATGTGGACCAGGCTGGTCTCAAAATCTGAACCTCAAGTCATCTGCCCACCTCAGCCTCCAAAATGCTGGGGTTACAGGCATAAGCCACCATGCCCAGCCTGATAGGGGCGTTTCTGAGGAGCAGAGACAGAGACAAGGGAGTCACCCCAGAGGTCCCCAGGGAAGGAAATGATGCCAGGGGGCTTGTAGGCTGCATCCCTGTCTAGCCTACCTTAGTCATTCCCCACTAATGACAGTCCCCATGCCGGAGATGAACAGGCTTTTCGAGGAGAAGGGGGAAGGAAGAGCATCTGGGACTCCCTGAGCTCCCACCAGGCACCCTGGCTTCCTTGTGGAAGTCTAGGACCTTGTGAACTCAGCACCTGCCTGCCAGGTTGGCAAAGGGGGCAGAAGAGCACAGTCTGTCTACACCCGTCTTCCCCAGTGTTCAGAACGGCTCAGGGCTCCACTGACCCCGAGTGAGGGTCAGACGGGTGGGCTCCAACGTCATCCTGAGCACAGAGGGGCTCCAAAACCTCAACCTGCAAAAGCAGAAGCCTCTAGAATACAGAGGAAGAGACAGGGAAGCTTTGGAAATGAATGGGGTGCGAGTGGAGCCCCCAATGGGAAGCAGCTGGTCCAGAAAGAGTTTCAATTCCTGCCCTCACATCAGGTTCCCTGTACAGATGACCCCGATTGTGTCTGAGAGGCTTCCCTTTGGATGTCCAGCTGTGTGCTGGGCCCGGCTTCCTTAAAGAGGGGACAGAGGAGTGAGGGCGATGGGAGTGGGGATGGGACTCAGTCCCTCAGGGCTTCAGGTGATTCAAAGGCTGTGGCTTCAGATCCAGCTTTGGGGGTGGGCCCAAAGCTGGAGGCCTCCCCCCAGCTGGGGGAAGCTGGAGGGGGAGGCCTCCAGCTTCTGGGCCAAAGGGTCGTCCTGGTCCTTGGACACAGGTAGGAGGCACGGGAGTCACTAAACCTAGGGTGGAGTAGCCTGGGAGCCACCAGTTCTGATCCCAGTCCGGTTCTGCAACTGCCTTGCCCTATGGCCTGGGGTGAGACGCGATGTCCCTCTGGGCCTCAGTTCCCTCTTCTTGAGAAAATAGAGAGGGAGGTATTTGTGTCTCTGGGAGTCTCAGTTCTCTTTCCCCTGGAGTCCCACAGCCTCAGACCTTCCCTGCCCCTCCCAGGTCACCACCACAGCAAAGAATACATTGACATCAACCCCCTCAGGAAGCTGCCCAGCCTCAAAGATGGGAAATTTATCTTAAGTGAAAGGTAAGTCTTCCCCAGGGCCCTCGCACCATCTGTCTCTGCTCCTCCTGGGAGACACAGTGCGCGCATTTGTCTATTTCACCATGGAAAACCTCACACATACACTAAAGGAGAGTGAATACTAACTAATGAGGGGCATGAGGAACCCACAAACCCATTGTCCAGCTCCGACTGTTGCCAACCTGGAGTCCATTTTACATCATTTCTATTCCCCTGCCTCCCAGACATCCCATCATTCCAGTCATAAATGTTTAGGGGCCAGCTCACACCTGTAATCCCAGCACTTTGGGAGGCTGAAGTTGGGGGATGGCCTGAGCTCATGTGTTCAAGACCAGCCTAGCCTGGACAACATGGCAAAAACCCATATCTACAAAAAATACAAAAATTAGCTAGCGTGGTGGTCTGCACCTGTAGTCCTAGCTACTCAGGAGGCTGAGGGGAAAGACTGCTTGAGCCCAGGAGGCAGAGGTTGCAGTGAGCCGAGATTGAGTTCTTCAGCCTGGACAACAGAGTAAGATCCCATCTCAAAAATAAAAATAAATAGTAAACAAATCAATAAATGTTTAGGAACATACCTCTCAGAGATAAGAGTTCTTAAAAAAAAGAAAGAAAGAAAGAAAGAAAGAAAGAAAGAAAGAAAGAAAGAAAGAAAGAAAGAAAGAAAAGAAAAGCAACAGACTGGGCATGGTAGCTCATGCCTATAATCCCAGCACTTTGAGAGGCTGACACGGGAGGATCGCTTGAGGCCAGGAGTTCACGACTGCAGTGAACTCTGATTGCGCCACTGCACTCCAGCCTGGGCTAGGAGAGAGGGTAGGAACACTACATTACCATTAAGATACCTCACAAAATTAACAATAATTCCTAGATTTCATCTAATGTCTGGTTCCTGTTCAAAACTCTCTGATTATCTCCTAAATATTTTCTTGGCAGTTTGTTTGGATCAGGATCCAAACAAGTTCTGAATCTTGCAGCCAGTTGCTGTCTCTCCCGCCTCTCTCTAATCGGTAGCTCTCTCCATACCCTAACCTTTTTACCTTGGCAAGGTTGCTGTTGATGATAACAAAGGAGCACTTGTCCTGTGGAGGTTCCCACACCAGCCATCAATCAGCAAGGCCTAGGACACCCCTCTGAAGCATGTCTCCCCTCCGTCCCCTTCCCTCTGTCCCCATGACCTCCACCATTCCCGGACATCACAACCTTCTCGATAGTTGCTGGCCCTGCTGTCGTCCATTCTGCCCCCTCGGGCTCACCCTCCATCCAGCACCAGAGATGGATCCTTTCATGCCCTGGCTTATATAACACCTAATCTGACGGATTAAGTCCATAACCTCCCTGCATCTCCTGGGGCTACCCTCTGTGGCCTCCACAGTGTCTCTTGCTGCCTCACCACTCCCCAACCACCCCCACCCTCCTTCCAGTTGCACCCACCTACTCTCCGTTCTTCAGATTCACCTTGCTGCCCTTACCCTGGTATTTCAGCATGTGTTTTTCTTTGTTGGTTTTTTGAGACAGAGTCTTGCTCTGTGGCCCAGGCTGGAGTGCAGTGGCACAATCTTGGCTCACTACAACCTGTGCGTCCCAGGTTCAAGTGACTCCCATGCCTTAGGCTCCCAAGTAGGTGGGATTACAGGTGTGTGTCACCACACCCAGCTAATTTTTGTATTTTCATTTTAGTAGAGACAGGGTTTCACCACGTTGGCCAGGCTGGTCTCCAACTCCTGGCCTCAAGGGATCTGCCCGCCCTTGGCCTCCCAGAGTGCCGGGATTATATGTGTGAGCCATCGTGCCTGGCCTGTTTCTGTTTTGAAAAAGGATCTTGCTCTTTCACCGAAGTAGGAGTGCAGTGGCGTGATCTTGGCTCACTGCAGCCTCAGATTCTTGGACTCAAGCGATCCACCCGCCTCAGCATCCTGATTTGACACGTGTTGTTCCCCTTGCTGGCCTACTCTTTGTTACACCACCAGCCCCCAACTCCTACTCACCCTGTAGGGCTCCTTCCCTGCCCTTACTGACTGTCAGACAGACAACTCTGGTGAAGGCCTTTCCCGGGGCCATTTGGGCTCCTTCTTGCTCTGGAAGCCCCAGCAGTTGGGCCCAGGGCATATTGGGGTGGTTGATGTACTGGCACTCAGGAAGGCAAGGGCAGTGCCCCTGACCGGCCCTTTCTGCAGTGTGGCCATCCTCTACTACCTGTGCCGCAAGTACAGCGCTCCATCACACTGGTACCCGCCAGACCTGCACGTACGTGCCAGTGTGGATGAGTTCATGGCTTGGCAACACGCGGCCTTTCAGTTGCCCATGAAGAAGATAGTCTGGTTCAAGGTGAGCAGGATCACTTCCGGGGCCTGGGGACAAGGGCACAAGGGAGTCAGGGAAGCTGGTGGCCAGTTCTGGCCCTGCTGATTGCCGGTGAACTCTAGTAAGTAAGTCTCCCTCCCTCTCTGGGCCTCATTTCCTCAGCTCCTTCTCCTGCCTGCCTTACGGAGCTGTCAGGGGTGTGGACTGAAACAATGGGCATGAAAGAGTCTTATTAGGGCGAGGGGAAGGGCATACAGGAGGGGCTGATATGACTTACCCAGGACAGCATTTGAGGCATTTCATTCTGAACTAGAGAATCTCAGCGTCGAAAGGCCCACAGAAGGCCAGGTGTTGTGCTCAAGCCTGTAATCCCAATACTTTGGGAGGCCAAGGCAGGTGAATCACTTGAGGTGAGGAATTCAAGACCTACCTGTCCAAAATTGTGAAACACTGTCTCTACTAAAAATACAAAAAAAATTAGCCAGTGTGGTGGTGGGCACCTGTAATCCTAGCTACTCAGGAGGCTGAGGGAGGAGAATTGCTTAAACCAGCCAAGTGGAGGTTGCAGTGAGCTGAGATCATGCCGCTGCACTCCAACCTGGGTGACAAAGTGAGACTCCATCTCAAAAAAAAAAAAAAAAAAAAAAGCTCATAGAAAATTTGAAGATGGCCGGGCGCGGTGTCTCATGCCTGTAATCTCAACACTTTGGGAGGCCAAGGCAGGCAGATCACAAGGTTGGGACTTCGAGAACAGCCTGGCCAACATGGTGAAACCCCATCTCTACTAAAAATACAAAAGTTACCCAGGCATGGTGGCACGTGCCTGTAATCCCTGCTACTCCAGAGGCTGAGGCAGGAGAATCTCTTGTACCCAGCAGGCGGAGGTTGCGGTGAGCTGAGATCCCGCCACTGCACTCCAGCATGGGCAACAGAGTGAGACTCCGTCTCAAAAACAAAACAAAAAAAAAGAAAATAGAAAATTTGAAGGTGACAAATAACCAATACATGTGTACATGATTGGTTACATCAAATTCTATGCCTGTGACAGGCATCACTAATCAGTCACAGGACTTATACCTGCTGAGCTCCCCAAATCCTTGTGAACACATGGTTCCCAGCAACTTCCACCAATCAGAACTGCTACAAGAGGTGAAACTACTTTATGTCCTG